GAGAACATTTTCGGGATGATGAGGAAGGCTGACATCTTACCTTACCTATTTCTGTATTGTTGAATTGTTTGCAATAGTTACTTTGAAATTTAAAGATGACTCATAAAGAAAGTCAATAAGTAATCAGCTGGGATCTAAAATATAGCTTAAAATGACAGTATAATTTTTTAAGCAATGATAAATTAACTGCTTTGATCTCACTGTGATGTGTTTATAAAAGCTTGCAGGAAAAATCGACAAATGTCTTGGCTGTAACAACAACTTTGATGGCAAACATCGTGTTTCCTGGAAATAATTTGGAAAAATAAGAGATAAATTCTGAAGATGATGGGTGCTACAGAATAAAAGATCTAGGATCTCACTGAAACCTTATTGTACATGTAAACTTGCATAAGAGGTGATTAAAAACAAAACAACAAAAGCTACATGCTTGACTGGATATTGTGTGCATTAGTTTAACATGTCAATTCTGTTTACCAGGTATTTTATTATGGACTGAATTTGATACCCCAAGTCCATATGTTGAAGCTTTATTCTCATGTGCCTGTGTGCGGGCATGGAAACTTTGGAGAAGCAAGGCTAAATGAGACCATAAGCAGGGCCCTAATCCAGCAGGGCCAGTGTCCTCACAGGAAGAGGAAGAGGCTTCAGCAGTTGGTGCCCATGGAGGACATGCCCCAGGGCACGCTGGGAAGCCGTCATCTGTTAAGTAGGAGAGGCCTCACCAGAAACCCACTCTGCATGCACCCTGATCTCGGACTTCCAGCTTTCAAAACAGAGAAAATAAATGCATGTTGTTACCCACCCAGGGTGTGATATTCTGTTATGATAGCCTGCACAAACCACACTACATGTAAGATGTGTGGGAGCCAGAGAAAGGGCTACAGAATCTAACAAGGCAACGTCCGCCCCAGAGGAAGAAGCATAGGGGCAGGTGTTCAGAGCGGATTCCAGACTTAGACGGCATTGTATGACCCAGAGCAAGTGACTTAGGTCCTCTGAGCAGAATTCTCCCATGTAGAAGTTGAGGATGCTGACAATAGGTGGGGATATGGCAAGGGTTAATGCATACTGTGTATAAAGGATCTAGAACAGTGTCTGGTATTTGTTAAACGACCTCATGAGAGCTTACTCCACTGGAAACAAAGAAGGAGGTCAGAAATAGGAAGAATAACTTTAGATAACAAAGGTTTGCTGATTGTTTTATTGAACATCCAGATAAATGAATGCAGTCCCTTCATAAACCACACAGCAGCTTTCTTATTGCAAATCCAAATTACAGTGACATTCTTACCAAGCACCTGCTGTGTCAGACGTTACTAAGGGATACAATTTGATTCAGAGACAGACCTGGAATTTTCCTACAAAGGTACCTGAACAAGGAAGATGATGAACACAATAAAATTGGAAGCCAAAGGGAGAAAAACTTAGAAAGATTCAAAAGTAGTGCAACATGCTGCCTATTGTTGTTGAAGAAAGGCCATCAGCAGCAATGAGCAGGCCTGGGTCTGAGAGCCACCTGTTGTGGAAGGCTGAAGAATAATAATAGCTGTTCCCTGTCCAAGTCTGCACACTCTCAATTATTCCAGAAGTCTTTTTCTATCACACTATTAGTTTTCACCAACAAATTGTTGCTCATATTGTAATGTTGGCTTTATTGTGAACATCACAATATTTTCCTTTTGTCATATACTATATAACACATTCAGTAGATACTAATAAAAGAAAAATCCACTGATGCATCAGCTATGATTTTTTTCTAAGATTTTATTTGTTTATTTGAGTGGTAGAATTACAGAGAGAGAGAGAAACAGAAAGGTCTTCTACCCCCTGGTTCACTCCCCATATGGCTACACCAGCCAGAGTTGGGGCTATCTGAAGCCAGGAGCTAGGAGATCTCCACATGGGTGCAGAGGCCCACGCACTTGGGCCATCTTCTACTGCCTTCCCAGGCCATAGCAAAGAGCTGGATTAGAAGAGGAGCAGCTGGGACTAGAACCGCTTCCCATAAAGGATACTGGTGCCACAGGCAGAGGCTGGGCCCACTACACCACAGCACCGGCCCCTGAACTATGACTTTTTATAACTTAAATCATAGTCTCATCTTAGCAACCTAGTTTTTAAAAGATTTATTTACTTGAAAGGCAGAGTTACAGAGAGGGAGAGACAAAGTGAGAGAGGTCTTCCATTTGCTGGTTCACTCCCCAAATGAACACAAAGGACAGGGCTTTGAAATCAGGAGCCTAGAAATCCATCTGGGTCTCCCACGTGGGTGGGAGGGGCCCAAGCACTTGCAACATCTTCCACTGCTTTCCTAGGGGGCTGGATTGAAAGTAGAGCAGATGGTAATCAAACTGGAGCTCATTTGAGATGCAATGTAGGCGAAGTATTAACCCATTGTGCCAGCCCCTCATTTTCTTGAATTTTTGTCTCAATGCTGTTTGAAATAGTTGAAAGGAAAATGAACTTCATTGCATTTCAATTAATCCTTAAATAAGGTGGTATGCAAGGCATGGAGGTTGTAGGGCTTTTATGCCTTTTATAAGTTGCTAAGGATTAGGTGTTGTGGTGCAGCAGGTTAAGCTGCCACTTGCAAAGCTGGCATCCCATATCAGAGCACTGGTTCAAGTCCCCTGGAGCAGATATGCATATGGTTAGAACATCTGTGTTTTAGGAGCCGGTTATGTTTTCTTCTTTTAAAAAAAAGTGAAGTTTTTTTTTAAAGATTTATTTATTTGAAACTCAGAGTTAAACAGAGATAAGAAAGAGAGAGAGAGAGAGAGAGAGAGACTTCCATCCACTGGTCCACTCTTCAAATAGCCAAAGCCAGGAGCCAAGAGCATCTTCCGCATCTCCCATGTGGGTTTACTGGCCCAAGCATGTGCGCCATCTTCCACTGCTTTCCTAGGCACATTAGCAAGGAGTATGCTTGTAAGTGGAGCAGTTGGGCTCTGAACCAGCACCCACAGGGGATGCTGGCGTAACAGGTGGCAACTTTACCCGCAATGTTACAATGCCAACCTCTCCAGTTCTGTTTTCTAGGTGGAATAAGGGGGTTCCTTTAAGCTTATTTTCTTTTTTACTTATTTATTTTATTTTATTTATGTGAAACACAGAGAGACAGAAAACAGAGATCTCTTATCCATCAGTTCACTCCCCATAATGCCCCATAATGCCACCATGGCTGGGACAGGACCAGACTGAAACCAGGAGAGTGAAAGTCAATTCAGGTCTTCCACATGAATGGCAAGAATGCAACTGCTGGACTCACTCACTGCCTGCTGTCATTAGCAGCAGGAAGCTGGAAACGGGACCAGAGCTTCAACTTAAATGCAAGCACTTCATTTGATATGGGTTGTAGGTGTCCCAAGTAGTGTTTTAAACATGGCACCAAATGCCTGCTCCATCCACTGCTTTTTTTCTACTTACAAACATGTTTCATCAAGCAGACAGCTGAATGGAAATAGTAAGTTTTTATAGTCCTGAGAAATCTACTGATAGAAGGACTCAGTCAAGATAGCAACTTGTGTTGCAATTTATTCTTCTGAGCTCTTAGAACATAAACACTGTTGCTAACAACCAATAAAATGCACTGTAGCTACAAATACTTAATATGTTCAAGTTACATGCAATCAACCAAGTAAAAATTTATGCCTCAGTTGGATCAATTTCTAATCATTTTATTCTAGTCCATGGCCACCACACTGCAATTTCAGGGGCCAATATTCACATTTCATTCAATGTGTGACTCATTGTTCCTCATGTGAATGGTGCCTGTGAGTTGTGCAGTTTTTCCTGCTGCAGTTCACAAAAATTGCAAAATGGAAAATGTATATCAACAAATTGGAAGTCACTAACGTGTTTCTCCCATTTTTAGCTAAATCAGACTTTCAAAGGCCATAGTGTTTTGGAGAGATCTTATAGACATTTCGTTTGTTTTGATTCCTTTTCCTTTCTATCATTGTCTTCCTTGGGACAAAGTCTCCCTGCAATTTTGGTGAGACTGTTGATCACCAGTGTTTACGGTGGAGGGCATGAGGTATAGGCTGGACCAATCATGATACCACACTGGTGCTTGATCATGATTGGAAAAGGAAGCATGCGATCCGAGAAGGGCCAATCCGAGATCCTCCTTGAGATCTGAAATGTGGCTATAGAACTATGACTATGTAAACCTGGGAATGTTGAAAGCCATTTTCCTCACTCTAGGGAAATCTTGCCACGTAAAATTAGATTGAGAAATTAAAGCCAAGTAGAGAAATGGAGAAAAATATTCCTGAGAACATCCGCTCAAGCATCTCCATATATCCCAGATTTGCCAGTTATGTGTGCAAATAACTTCGTTTTTTGCTAAATGAAATTTTTTGCTAGTGCAAAATGAGTTAATGTCACTTGAATTCAAAGGAGCCCTAATTACCACAGAGTCTATAATTGCAAGTTTGTAATTCCTCTCAGGAAGTGACTTTGAGCATGGTGAATTTAATGCCATATAGTTCCACATCCTCTCTCAAAAACAGAAGTGGCAAAGCTTTCCTTATTTTAACACTGGATCTCTGGTGTTAGTAACTCACTTGACTTCTGTGTTAAGGCTATATCTCTAGGCAAAACTCAAAGCTACCATCAATAAGAGGACACATCAAAAGTTTGTGGGAAATGCATATTATGAAAAAACTATACATGGATTCTAATTTTTTTTCACCAAAATAAACTCTTTTAATCCCATTTTCCATGTACTTTTAAAAATACATGCATATATACCAGATGAATCAAATGGGATTTAAAAATCTCTTCTCCAATATAAAACCTTTCAGAGCCTAATCATGGAGAATATGGTGATGGCTCCTTGTTTCATTAACACCAGGGAGTGGCAAATCTTCTACTTTGCCATATTGAGTAAGTGAAATTCATCAAACCTTTTGCCATAAATTCCCTTTCGCATTAAGTGTATGACTAAATAATAAAGTCAAGATGTGAGCAGTTCTTTTTTTTTTTTTTAAGATTTATTTATTTATTTGAAAGTCAGAGTTACACAGACAGGTCCTACATCCGATGGTTCACTCCCCAATTGGCTGCAACAGCCGGAGCTGCACCAATCTGAAGCCAGGAGCTTCTTCCGGATCTCCCACGCGGATGCAGGGGTCCAAGCACTTGGGCCATCTTGTACTGCTTTCCCAGGCCATAGCAGAGAGCTGAATGGGAAGTAGAGCAGCTGGGTCTCAAACTGGCGCCCATATGGAATGCCGGTGCTTCAGGCCAGGGCGTTAACCCGCTGCGCCACAGTGCGCCCCCCTCCCTCCACCATATGGGCTTCAGGGACCCAGTCACTTGAGCCACTGCTTGCTTCCATTATTATTTTTTAAACAACAAAATCAAGAGTGCAAGGAAGCAAATCAGAAGACTTTGAATAAAGAAGTTTGAGTTCTGAATGTGTCTGCTTCTCTGCCTTCCCAGCAAAGCAGCCTGCAAAACACTTCTGCACACTTCTTCAATTTGACCGTTTCAACAACCCTAAGAGGTCTATGCAGAAAACTATCCTTTCGCTCTGTGGGGAAGTGAATTTTAATGGATGAGTTTTAATAGCTCTTCAAGCTAATTGAAAAGATTGGCCAGCATCACAACTCCAACAAGGAGAGAAGTAGAACAAACATACGGAAGAATAAAATCCGTGCAAACAGGTCATTGGGCCTCGTGAGCATGAAGTGAGGCTGAAGGTGCTCACTCGGGACAGAAGCTCGCTCCTCTCGGGAACCACAGTCGAAACCCACTCCCCTGCTACTCCACGGTGCTTCTCTTCTTTGCTTTGCTGTTTTAGCTAATTACCAGAAGGACAAAAAGAGGTCCTAGAAAGAAGCAGAAAGACATTTCTCTTATTCCATCAGCCCTCTTCATGCTCAGGATGCCAGGTTACTGTTTTTATTGTTTGGTTTAGAAACGGTTTTACTAAATACAGTAGGTAGCATTTATTGAGTGCCTATTTGTGCCAAAGGTTATTGTAGCTCCAATTCTTTCACTCATCTTGCACTGTACGTATCCTTCTACTTTTATTATAGGAGAGAAAGACTGGATGAATTGTCTGGTTATGGGGTAGAGAATGAAGCTCATGGGTAGAAAGAAATTCCTTTTTTGCTTGTGGCAAGAGAGAAACTCTGGCTCCCCATTTGAAATAGGGATAGTCCTCATATTCTCTCTCTCTCTCTCTCTCTCTCTCTCTCTCTCTCTCTCTCTCTCTTTCTCTCTTCCTCCCTCCCTCCCTCCCCTGCTTTCTCTCTCTCTCCCTCTCTTTCTCTCTCTTTCCTTCTTCCTTCTCTCTCTCTCTATTCCTTAGCAGGCATTTGTGTTTAGTTTTTGGTGTATTTGGAACCGCAGTGGAATGAGACAAGAATGTAATTACCCAGAGGTTTGGCTCAGAGTACAACTGTCATTGGAACTGATGCTTCGTGTTCCTAGGTCTTCAGGGTCTCTAGGCGTCCCAGGCAGCGCTTGGTTATGCTGAAGGTCTTTGCCTTCTATGATTCAGGAGAGGGAATCCGAGGTGGGTGCTCCTGCTTCCTTCTGCGCTGGCGCTACCCCCACCCCACCCCGCCCCGCCCCACGCCCTCTGCCTGATCCTGAGCTGCTCCTGTATTTCCGTGCTCATAGCTCCCTCTTCCTCACAACCTAAGGCACCACTCTTCCAATACTCTGGGTGCTATGGACTTTCCTAAAGGACAGGGGCAAGGGAGGTGAATTATAACTCAGGATAGGAAATAACAACCAATTCAGAGCAGACACCATTGGTCTTAAAACACTCCTCCTCCTCTGCTGAGAGGACCTCTTTCGGGCTACCCCCTTCCTGTCCCCGTCAGCTGCTAGTTTGGTGAGAAGAATTCTGAGTTAACCTAAACTTAATTACAAGGGCAGAAGGATGGAGGGGAGGAGAGATGAGGAGGGTAAGTGAGCTGGCTAAAAAAAGACAGATCCTTTCACATTCCTGAATGTATGTTAAAACTTTATCTCAGATCCCATCAGGGCCCCTGGGTGCCATGGCTTCCTCCTTATGACCCTCACCAATCCACAGAGGCACAACTTATCCTTAAGAACTGCCTTCCCATGCCCAGCCTCCTGCCCTCTTATCTATAGCCAGTGTAGAGCCAATGTAAACCACTTACGCTTTCCTTCCTCAGAGTTTCAATAGAAAGGTGTTCTTCGCTCTAAGTTCAGCAGGTGTTTTCTCATCTGCTGTTTAGATCTGCTGCTAAGACTATACTTTCAGGGATCATTTCTATAGTTCGCTACTAGATCTGCTGCTGGCAGTGGTGGGAACTTGTCCCAGACTTGGTCCCTTTCTGACCAAGATCTGTAATGTCTCAATAAACTCTTTTATTTCAGAGCTCCTCGATTTCAAGAGTTTTGGTTATCATCATCCATGCAGCAGGTTTCTGTTGCAAACCTTTTGTCCCAGTGATTTCCCTCCAAGCACCAGAGGCCAACCTAGAAATCGCTAACAAAAGGAATTGAGTCCTGCTTTCATTCAATATCTTCCATCTCTGCTAACCTAGTACTTCCTTTCATTGTCCATATACGCATTTAGGCATCTTTCTAAAAGAAAGAGACATTTCCCCCTTGAGACAGTTCCAGTTTCTCCGCCATAGGGTTTTGCTTGCCATCAGCTTTTTTCTTTTCTTAAGTGCTTCTGGTTGTTCCTGCCATGTTCACATTCTCTCTTAAGCAAAAGACCAGAAATCTCATTCTCCATAAAAACTAGCACTCCGCTCTCGGTGAATGATCAGGGGGAAATATATCGAGCTGCATTTTTCTAGAAAGTAGGGAATGTGTCCCTCCTAGCACATTTTCATGAACTCTTGTTAGTATTCTGGTGGCAGGAAGGCACTCATGTTGGTGGCTGAGAGAGAGAAGGTGTACTTGGGGAGGTAAGGTGAGCCCTTCCACCTTGCAATAACTATGAGCCAAATAGTCTCAATTGTCACTCCCCGATAGGCATTTATTCAATAATCACTAAGCATGTACTTATGAAAACAGAAACCATTACAGGCACCTAATGTTGACCTAATGGTCAACAAGACAAGAGTTTTTGATGGCTGAAAGGACAGAGTTCTGGTCTAAGGTCTATGGGAAGATGAACAAAGGAAGCGACTTGCTCTGGCTGAAGAATTCAGTTAGTCCAAATTTGTCTTGTCAAATGCCATTCTCCTCTTTATCCCACTGGTTTACCCCAGGTGGTTCAGCCAATACTGGGTTTTGAGGAATGTGCTGGCTACACTTGGAACTCACATGTGTTAGTTCCCTGGTACACGGAGTCATTGAAGAATAGATGAAGAATAGTGCTCCCTGTAGTTGAGTAGCATCATGGTCCCAGGATTTCATCCCAGGATCATTGGCTTACATTATCTATTTTTCATTGAAAATTGGAGTCAATAACCAAGTGTTGTGGAAGAAGTCATGTTGGTCTTGTATGTAGATTCCAATACTGATACTCCTGAAGACAAATGGATTTTATCATTCCCAAGTTATTCATTAATTGGATAACAATAGTTATCCACTAACTACATAATGTCAATTTTGTCATCAATAAATGAAGAGACTGAGTGAGTTTATAGGTAGGTATATGTTTGAATCATTATAGTTTTTAGAAATACTACATTTAGGAGCCAGCACTATGGCACAGCAGGTTAACACCATGGCCTGAAGCGTCAGCATCCCATATGGGCACCGGTTCTAGTCCCAGCTGCTCCTCTTCTGATCCAGCTCTCTGCTATGGCCTGGGAAAGCAGTAGAAGTATGGCCTGGGAAAGCAGCCCAAGTGCGTGGGCCCCTGCACCTGCGTGGGAGACCCAGAAGAAGCTCCTGGCTCCTGGCTTCAGATTGGTGCAGCTCTGGCCATTGTGGCCAATTGGGGAGTGAACCACCTCTCTTTTTCTCTCTTTCTGTCTCTTCTCTCTCTGTGTAACTCTGACTTTCAAATACATAAATAAATCTTAAAAAAAAGAAATACTACATTTAACTACTCTTCGTGTCTAAGTATGGAATAAGCCAGTATAATTTATCTGTTGATTTGTTAATATAATCATTTTTGCATTCCTAATTACTGTAGATAAAGTCATTAATTTTATGCTCAAATAGAGTTTGGTTCAGATTTTGGTTTCTCCATTTATGATATAAATGACCTCGAATAGTTAACTTTTTGACCTTTGTGTGGCCTTGTTTCCTGATTTCTAAGTGAAAATATTACCTTTATCATAAGGCAACTGATAGATTCTACAGAGAACCAGTAGGATGTGTATTTGCCTGTGCTTCTGTGTGTATGTGTGTGTGTGTGTAGAGACACACAGAGAGAAAGGAAGAGAGAGAGAAGGAGGGAGAGAGGCAGAAACAGAAATACACACACATATACCTAAAAAAAGGTAGGGGAGAGAGAGATTTATTTTAGGGAATTGGCTGGCATGAACATGGAAGCTGGGAAAGTCTGAAATCTGAAGGATAGTCTAGCAGGCTGGGGAGCCATGAAAAAACTGATGTTGCAGCTTGAGTCTGAGTCTGCTGGCCGAATTCCCTCTGCCTTGGGGAATTCGTCTTTTTCCTAAGGTTTTCAACTGTAGATGAAGCTCGGCCTCACGTCATGGAGGGCAATCTGCTTCACTCAAAGCATACCTATTTAAATGTTCGTCTCCTCTCAAAAATAGTTCTACAGCAAAACTCAGATACGTTTGACCAAATATCTGGGCACTATAGTTAGCCAAATTGACACATACCACTGACCATGAGGAAAGCAGTACCGATGATCAAAGTGGCAAGTTTATCAGGGTCTAACACAGGAAATAAATAATAGAAATGAGTGTGATTACTGGTGTTATTTTTGTTGCTATGATTTTCTATGGACTATGTATACTTGTTGTTCACTCTCAGGCTAGGTTCTGAAGTCATAACAATTCACATGATACAATCTGTTCTAGATGAATTTACAGACTAAACACAGATCCCGATAAGCTAACTGACCATTACAATAGGGCCCCGATAATTGTGAGGGGGAAAGAATTGTTATGAGAAACATGGGTCCTAAGAGAATACTTACGAGTGTTTCCAAATCAGAATGGGTTGAGCAGCAGCGAGGCCAAACTTTCTAAGATCTGATAGGTGAAAAAACCCTAGTCAGGGACGTGGATGTGGGAAGAGAGAGAAGTAGATGCAAGTTGAAGGAACAATACGCGTAGCAAGAAGTGACAAAGAGCTTGGCTTATTCCAGGAACTGTAAGAACTCCATCATTTGTTGGGGTATAGGATAAAAAAGACAAAAAGTTGAGAGATGAACAGGGTTAAGTCACTAACCGGCTCTTAGCCAGCTAACCAATGTGGACTTTGCTCTGAGGGCAGTGATGATTTAAAATACGACATAGATATTGGAATTGAGAGAAATTAGGGAGCAGTAAGTAGGTAGGATGGATAGGTAAGGCCTGACGATTAAGTGTGTAACATAGAGAGAGGGTAGAAAACTGAAATTTAGCAGTGAGCTGGGCTATGTTTAGAAGGTCCTATAATAAAGGATCTTTTATTATAAAGGATATAGTATAATATATAATAAAGGATACTTTAAAGAATATTGGAGAATCTTAAGCTAGTTATTATTTTGTTTTTTTTTTTATTAGTCATTTTCCTCATCTATGAAATGCAGATATTTGGACTCAATGCTGTTTGAAAGGCTTTGTCTGACTCTAAAATTCTACAACCCTGTGACTTCTTTTTATCTTTGTACTACTGAGTCAATAAACTGAAAAGCAACAAATGGCATCAACATATTGGTATTTAGCTATGATTTTCAATTATCACAGGATATCATAATGAGAAA